ATATATATATATATATATATATATATATATATATATATATATATATATATATATTTGTCCGCTACCCCTGTCCCTTCTTCCTTCGTTTGGCTTTCATTCGGCTCTCTCGTCCCTCTATTATTCGGTCGACCCTTCCGAAGGATTTCACTTATCTCGCGAAAATGGTCGTACTGCGTTACATATGTTAGGGGAGAGTTAGCGATTCGACGATCCCTTCTTTCATAAAATATCGTCCTATATGCGTGTGAGGAATATCAATGAATTTCTCTATTTCCTTTTTCAAAAATACAATTGACTCAATTCTTTTTCAACGTTTTTTTTACGACCAATCGATATGTGGCTTAACGTGATCGCGTTGCACTCGTTGTGGATCTCTTTGTACTTTGCCGCTCTCGCTCTTTTAAAGTTAGCGCTACATTTTATTCGTTCAGTATGTGGGACTGATATTTCGATATCGAATTATTAAATTCGATAGCCACACGGTTATTTAACATCGCGCGAGCGTGCGCTATTCGCAAATTAAGCTGCAAATGAGTAACGAGACCTCGTCCACGCTCGCAGGTTGAATGAAACATTCAATGTTGATCATTAAAATCGTTGCTGGCCTATAATGGCTTCGGATAGATTCAGTCCCGCATTTAAAGTATGCCGTGGGCTTTGGAGTATTATGTACGGGTACGGTGTAACATGTACGGGGAAAAATTTTAATTAACCGAAGCACCGAGAGATTTCGAATTAAATTCTCACAAAGGAAAAATCGATCGTAGATTACGACGCATTCCTCTGGAAAAAATTAAATGAAATAGATTAAACCGGAAAGAGGATTCTTTCCTACGAAATACAGAACATCTGACAAATACAAGAAAATTTTCTATCCATGCATTGAGAGAAAGAACGGTTGATTTTGCTAAGAATTATTGTCATTTTCGGCGGCAATCATATCTTTTTGTTGTCCTGACAAAAGAGTAATAGCAACGTATGAAGCTACTGCCAGTAACGCTACAGTAGCGTTTACTGGAATAATGGGTTTCCCGACTATAATTGTTTCACTGTGTGGTTAAATAAACATTTTTTTTCCAATCCGTGATATGTCTGCGAACAATAAGTAAAATCAAGCTATTGCGACGAGTAATGGCGAACTCTGCGAAATCAAGAGAGTATATTTAATATTGGTAAATTAAAGATTGGTTGTAAAATTGCCGGTATTTAACTTGTATTCCCAATATATCGCGCAATAACTAGTAGTCGATATAACATATTTTTTTCATCCTAATTAATGGATTAAAGTCTCCGTTAACTTCCGATTATTCGAGCGTAAAAATGAAACGAACGAAACACGCGAATGAAAGCGGGAATACACAAAAGAGTCCCGGCGATTTAATTATGTTTTTCGGAAATTTGGCACACACGAATGCATCGAAGTAATCATCGGCAATTTTCCGATACGCTTATTACTAATACCGAGCGAAGAATTAAAAACTTCTCTTTTTTAATTGATCGTCCTGTAAAAAAATAAATTATATAAATAATGATATTTAAAAAAGGTATATAGAGTGCAATTCAAGGAATTCGAGTTTTTACTTGAATATAAAAACGAAGCAATATGAACTCACGATTTCACGAACGAACGAATGAATTTTGCCGATTCACTTATATCCTTCTCGCAGAGACGGAAATTTAGATGTAAATCTGTATATAACGAAGCAACAATCGCGGAGTAGTTTGTAAAACGTTATAACCGATCAAAATCGACAAGTTTGACACTTCGCGTTGCAATTGCGTAAAAAACTAAAAGAATATACTCATGGTACACACACACACACACACACACACACACACACACACACACACACACACACACACACACACACACACACACACACACACACACACACACACACACACACACACACACACACACACACACACACACACACACACACACACACACACACACACACACACACACACACACACACACACACACACACACACACACACACACACACACACACACACACACACACACACACACACACACACACACACACACACACACACACACACACACACACACACACACACACACACACACACACACACACACACACACACACACACACACACACACACACACACACACACACACACACACACACACACACACACACACACACACACACACACACACACACACACACACACACACACACACACACACACACACACACACACACACACACACACACACACACACACACACACACACACACACACACACACACACACACACACACACACACACACACACACACACACACACACACACACACACACACACACATGGTTACTCCAACCAATTTCTGATTGCCACAATCAGATCACGCGTTCATGTACTAAAGTAATCGAATCAATACAACTATTCACATTTTCAATCACATAAAGATAATTCGGGTGATATAATTGTGTTGCCCACAATTAAATATTTCTGGTTTGTGCACTATATCTTTTGTTCCATAGTAGTAGCGACGTGCATGCCAAGTTATTAACAACATAGTGACGCTTACTTCACAAATAGTTTTCCTGGCTATAATTTCAACGGTGTAATTATGGCCAGAACTGTCAAATACTTTTTCCTCGGGAAAAAGTATTTGACAAATACAAATACAAATCTGTCGTTAATAATATGTATTAATAATACAGGTCATCGATAAGCACAGATCAAATACAAGTCCGGTGTATCTGCGGTGCAACGTCGAGAACTGATATTGTTTCCAGCGCGTTTCTTGATAGTGTTTCCTGCGCGTCAGTGATTTTCCATAATAATTTAGGATAACGTGGATTACGATTTTCGGTTCGGCAGGTAATAGACGACCGAGTCCGATTTACTGCTGAGACCACCGTGTTCGCATCATGTTCGCGAAGTCCAGAGGCACGGCGCCGAGCGACCTGCTGCCCGATCCGATCCGCAACATGTACGAGATCGGCAAGCAATCCGCCACGGCCGGTCCCGAGAACGCCTGGCGAATTTACGACGGATATCGAAAAAAGGACAGAATGGTAACTAACTCTGCACTGTTATTCAAAGCAAAGTAGTATATCGGAAAAGAAATCAGATTAAAAAAAACCAAGTGTCAAGGCTGTGCCAATTTTTCTGTACACTGCAATTGAGCGAATTTAATAAAAAATCAAACCAAATTAAGGGTTTGACGTAGGAATTCCAACTACAAAATTTAATCAACAGTGTTAACAGTTTCACTGATTCATTTTTTATAGTACGTCATATCGTAATGGCATAAGCTGACTTAATCCTTGCACAGCTCGAGTCCTTTGGCTCTCCGGACAAATCTCTTCAATGGGTTTCGCTTGAGTTTCTCAAATAAAAGTTAAGACCGCCATTTGTAAGGAGGAAGTGAATGAGAGAGAAGTTGCAGCGTATTTCATCATTTCAATCTTGGAGTTTCTCTCTCAATCCTATAGGCTTTTTTCTATTAACGGCGTATCCGATCAGGAATCATCACGCGGTGTCCTAATTTTTATCTGAGGAACTCTAGATTTCGCGACGCGAAGCGTGGATGGAGAACAACGTTATTGGTGTTTTGCTTACAGGAGGTCTCGATTTTTCTATTCGACAAACGATCCGTTGAAAAACTACACAAACCAAAACGCAAAGAGGCGGTCACGGACATACTGCGCGAAGGTGCCACACGAATGGAGCGCTTCTCGCATCCTAAATTATTGCAGGTATATGTATATTACGTGCACGCGTAATGTTAAAAGTCAATGTGAGAATGCGCGTTGTTTTTCCACTCGGGGAATTTTAGCGAGTTTGACGAGCTCGCTTTGCCGAGTCGAAAGAGCATCCAAATTGACTGAAACGGTCCCGCAAATCAATATGCAAATAACCCACCACCGTGCTGTACGCCATTTGGTGTGAATTCAGTGTTGGGCATTAACATGTTCGTCTGTGTGTGACGCAACGATCTTTCACAAGAGACCAATGTCACGTATGTGTGACAGCAAAAAAAAACAAGCTTTTCATATCAATATTATTACACTAAGTTTGTTAATTATATAAAAAAAATAAATAAATAAGAATAAAATCTGTGAGGAAAATCTCCTAAATAAACCGTGACGATGAACATGTTAATCGATTAAATTTCTCTTTTCGACCGAGATATAATCGGCCAATTATTAATATAAATTGATCAATCGTCGTGTATAAAATCACAAATAATTTCATCGAATAATGAAATTAATTATTAAGCAAATTTTTATTCGATTGATTATACACTGATTAATAATTAATTCTATCGATCGATTGAATTACTTGTGACTACAAATGTGACGATTGATTAATTTTGACTATTGATTCGCCGATTATATCAGTCAAAGGAAATTTTAGTCGATTAATGTCCAACCCTGCGTGAATTTGCCGAGCCGCCACTATAGATCGATACTCTCTATGCGCGACGCACCAAACGTAGGCGTACAAAGTCGAAGAGTGCGCGGACACATTGGCTTTCGCATCCGAGCCGGTCCTTGCCAGCTTGGCGAACGTCCTGGCTTACAAGGAACAGCTGGCGAACACCCTAGCGGCGCAATCTTCCACGTCGATGGCGAAGCAGAATCATCCGTCAGCCACCAGCCACCGCTCGACCTTCGTCAAGGAATACGAGCTGCTCGAGCTGGAGATCAAGTACGGATTATTGCAGGTGAGAACACGATAATTGTCTGTCGATATTGTTAGACGACTAAAATTTTTGTTGACTAAAATAATCGGTAAATCATAATCTCATCAAAATTAATCAATTGCTATGCATAAATTGTGAAAGGATAAAACTCTGTTGATTATATAAATTGATTACGTAAACAATATATTTAACATATCTATGATATTATCATATAGCTTTATATCCGTGTGCCGTTCTTATTGGTTTTTTATTATTTTATCAATTAATCATATATAAATTCACAAATAATTTCACGAATTGAGTGAAAATATTGTTGATTTTATCGTATGACAATTAATTAATTTTGACGATCGATTTGCCGATTATTCAAGTCAGAGGAAATTTTGACCGATTAATACGCGACGCTGCCTACTGAACATAGATATTTCATTCTCTTCCTGCAGCTGAATGAACAATAATAGCGCAATCGGTGTCTGTTGCCTCACTCTGTGCAATTCATCGTCCCTACATTAGTGTAAAGTAACAGTCGACAAATTAATGAAATTGTCCGAGATCGCCGAAACAATGCGAGCGTATCGCGTTCGTATACATCGATATTCTCGCGGTCGAGCGTCATTTTGACTGACGAATTCGCGTGTGACAGATGTTCACTGCAATGTTGGCACGGTGACAGCGGGACTAACGTTAAAATTGACTTGGTTATTTATTTATATCGCGTTACTTCTATTTTACAAGTCACGTAAAGGTGATTTTCCGGTTGCGGTTCTCTCGCGTTGAAATATCGTCGAACACGATGTCACGCGGCGTGCGCTGAAAATAGCAACGAATTTGCCTTCTCTCTTTCTCTCTCTCTTTTTCTCGCAGTTGTTACGTATTCCGGGTAACTCGAGTTCGATCAATTTCATTTCATCTGTTTGCCCACGTATCTGTTTGCCCACGTATTTCCACGAACGGTGATGATATTTTTTCGACTCCTAGTCCGGGACACCGGCATTATGACGGGGCTTGTCTGCTGATCGTTACGTTGCGGCGAGTGTATAAAGAAAGATACCTGCGAGGTAAAAAGAGAGAGGCCGCGACGCGCGCTTTTAAGCACTTTTGCCCTTACAACCTCGTGTGCAACGGAATATCTCGAATAACGCTTTTCCGTCGGCCTTGTGTGTACTGTGATATAATATTCAATAGTCAGGCAATTTAAATTTTTCTCGATAAAAACCACACACTTGCGCATTGCAGTACGTTATGACGCCTCGCGCTCTTTCATACATGAAACAACGAAATGGAAAGTGAAGAAAAAAACGAAATTAATGCGGCAACAACTTGTATGACACTTTGACATTGAAACTCTTCGAGCAAGATGACATTTTCCAAAGTGTTTTGTGTGAAATTTCCGCTTTATAACATTCGGCCGGAAGGGGAAATTGCACGCCCTACCCTCGGGGTTCGGAATAAAAGAGGCAATTTAGAAATTCGAGTACGCATGCACGTACGACCGTGACATTGTTCTGTAAACACGAATATCGCGATAGACGCGCGATAGAACGAGGTCACACGTTGGCGGAAAATTAAGTCGAGGTTATACGGGCCCGCATGCCCGATCGACCCGATCGACGAGAGTGAGCGATCGGAGCGAATTTTCTCAAAAACGAGTTTCTGCCGTGCAACCACCGCGAGAAATTAACTCTCTCGAGCCACCCGACGTTCGCCTCCGCATAATAGAATGTATTACGAAGCGTAATAGAATGCTTAATGCCGTTAACCCCTCCTTCAACTACGACTCGCGCACCGTACGCGATCGCGATCGCACGTTTAGTGTTCGGTAAATCATGGTAAATTCTAAACGCAGAGAAAAGCGTCTACTCAGTTTAGTTTTCCCTCTTCCAAGTAATAGTTATCTTTAACGAAGAATCGATTTTCCATATAGTATGCGAAACGAAATTTTATTTTAATTTAATACTTTTGATCTGAAATTAGGGATAAAATTTAGGATTCAGAATGTATTTTGAATAAATTTGATGTTTAAGATGAACTTATGACAGATATATAAATTTATGAAATACTTAAAGCAAGTGACATTTACTTGCAGTATGTATTTTTCTGCGTATAATATTGAGTTTTACGAATTCTGTTTATCTTTACTTTGCAGATCACGGAGGCTCTGTTGTTTCTTCACAACATCAAATATCTCCACAGAAACGTTTGTCCAACGAGCATTATAATTACAAAAAGGGGCACGTGGAAGTTGTCGGGATTTGAGTTTACCGGTGAGTCTATATATCGATATGTTTCGTAATCTCTCGCTGCAGCGTCAGAGTTTTGCTAATTTCGAGAAAAAATTGAATTTCGTTAAACTGCGCGTTGGAACTAACCGATAGCGACAAGACAGATCGCTGGTCATTCGCTATGATTGATTGTACTTTGATGTCTATGACTTGATATTGAGAAAAAGAGAAAGGAAAGAAACGATAGAGTCCAGAACAGTCGTTACTTTAGAATGCATTTCGCTTGTTAGAGAAGGCCAATGAGGTACCGATTGCGGTGCAATCGTGGACGAAGCACATGTCGAAAATGACCCAGCCGAATCTCGACTATATAGGTGAGATATCGCAAAATCTATTAACGCTGCCCACGCTGCGAAAGTTGCTCCCCGATGAGACCGTGTCTCTCGAGTCATTCAACTCCGATAACAAGATCGACGGAGAGTTTGTATCTTGTTAGAGATTGATATAAAACGTGTCCTCGCGATCCGTTTTGCTCGATATAGCGATAACAAATTTCCTCCGTGAATACGCGTGAAGATTGAATTTGCTTTTATCGCGCGGCGCAACCATTACACAAATAGAAATCTCCATAGAATAGATCGTATGGCTTTCGCGTGCACCAACGTTTTATCTGTTTTATGAAAGAAGTTATTTACACGTGAAAGAAAAGTGACCTTGTTTGAAGCATTAATGGAATTGGATTTATACAGGAAAGCTTATTCTCCGCCGAACTTTCGCGATAAACAAAGCGCGTTTGGCGTCTCCTCTCTCACTCTCTCTCTTTTTCCCCGGCGGCTTCAATTGATCCCGAAAGCCGGACCTTCGGGGATCACCGTGGGCAGCTTTCCAGTCGTGGCTGAAAACGCTAAAACGATTTCATTTGCATTGCTGATCCGTCGCGCCTCGTCCTGATTTGGCGTCTAGTTCACGTAGCACGCGTAACGCGACAACAACGACAATAACAGCAACACCAACAACGTGTTGCAGCGCCGGAAGTACAGCAGAAAAAGCTTGGCAGCTTCTGCAACGACATGTACAGCCTCGGTATGACGATATGCGCGATTTACAATGAGGGCCGGCCGCTGATCCAGGCGAATCACAGCGGTTCGGATTACCTTAAGCAACTCGAGACCGTAAGTTAATCTATCCGAGCACGGGATGAAGATTCGGACTTGTAAAAGGAGTGAACGCGGATGATCCTTAAGGGGATTTAACCTTCGAGCACCTGCGGACATCACTGCGTCGGATTATTGTACACACACGCGACACGCTTTGCACGGCACGATTCTCTTCTTCTCCTATTCCTCTCTTTCTCTCTTTCTCTGTGGCTTTGATGAATAAATCTCGATATTCTGTTCTATTTTTACTTATCGTTATATTTTCATATCGATCCTCTTTATCCAATCTCTCCTTTTTCTCTTCTTTCATGATAATTTTCATTGTACTCATAGAATTTCAATTATAATGGCCAATTAATCGTCGAGCAATTTAATCAGAAAGTGATTCTTGATTTTAACTCCAAATTAATCTAAAAAACTCGCGAATTTTTTCACAGAATATAATTTTCAGTCAAGTTTCATTTTTATCTTTCCATCGTCGAGATAAGCGACTAAATGACTGCAGTGGTTAAGATCTGGACTTTATTTCATTTCAACATATTAATTGCTACATTTTCACTGATTGTACGAAAACATAATTGGCGATTAAATTACCAAAAATATAGTAAATGAACGTAACTCGAGACGTATGTATCTTTCATTACGTTTTATCGGCTTCCTGTTGGCTGTATAAGCGATTTTTCAAATATCATCGTTGTCACCGCCGACCATCTCTTTAACCAGCTGGACGATCAAGTCGCTGTGATCTTGCCGTTGGTACCAATGCCTCTTCGAGAGGCTGTGTCTCGGCTCTTGCACAAGGATCCCGAACAGAGGCCAACCGCGCAAGTCCTGACCATGATCAAGTTTTTCCGAGATCCGTTCGTGCACGCACTGCAATTCTTGGACGTTAGCAAGATGAAGGACGTTTGTCAGAAGGAGCATTTTTATACCACGACTTTGAAGGAGCTATTGCCATATATGCCGAAGGTACGCGCGAACTTTGTTACGTTCAGGACCAACTTGGGCTGAGGCGAATCGAAAAGTTTAAGCGCTAGTCTGGATTTTTATATACTGAGAGAAAAAAAATGCTTAATCTTATTAAAATTATAATCACTTGTATATAATCATGTATCATCTGATGTCTATTTTATAGTCATTTATAGCAGCAATTACTATATAAATACGGTTTTTCGAACTATAATTAGTTGTAACTATGTAATTATAGTCACAAGTACAAAAAATAAGGCACCTTTTTTTCAGTCTACAGATCGTGTCTTTGACCAAAGGTGCCTTTAATTAGAACTTTCGTCGGTTATTAGAGTTAATTTCAATTTTTATCTAGAGTATAATCTCTTCCTCCCTCTTTGTTCGTCGTCGCTTCGTATATTCTAACGTACCAAGAACACGCAACTCGTAACATTCTGATGGATAGTAATCGCGTTTCTCTCTCTTTCTTCGTGGGCTAAAAGCTGTGAAACACAGCGGAGAAGTCAAGATACGGCGTCTCGCAGGGACACGCAAGTCACTGTCGCAGTGACATCTAGTTTGAACATTTTCTCGGATCCGCGTCGGAGTTGCGAGTTTAATTTCGCTAGCCCTGTCAACCGATTGTTACCCTAATTGTACGCGACGATCCCTTCGTCGTCCGATATTCCCCCGAGTCGCGTGTCACGCGAGCGTTTTCCGTTTTCTCTACAGAAACTCTGGTATCAGCACATCTGGACGTATCTTCACGCGGAATTGCAAACCCAGGAAGTGCTGTCCGCCGTGCTGCAGCCTGTGCTGTACATCGTGCAGAACAGCACACAAGAGGAATACGATCAGATCCTGTTTCCTACGCTTAAGTACGTATAGAAACACGGGAAATGAGCGCGCGACATTGACATCGCGAGATAGAGACACGTCTCTCCACGCTCTTCCGTTTTGCATGCTCGCAGGCCCCTCTTCACCAATCGAAAGTCGATTCAGGGTACGGTGACCCTGCTGGAGAACCTGCATCTCATCCTGAAAAAGACGCCGCAGGAGTATGAGCGCGAGGTGCTTTCCATGCTATACACGTCTTTCGAGAACACGAACATCCAAGTGAAGGTGAGTGAATGCACGATCGATAATATCGGAAGAATTTATGAGGATATTCCGGGATATCGTTCAATCACGTCGGTCTGAAGCGGGTCTGCGAAATAGACGGTGATTCGCAACGAGCGATTGTCGAGCCGATAATGAGACGCGGAAAATTAGAACTTTCAGACTTCTAATTGCTCTTTTGGATTTCTAATACTTTTTTGGAATATAAATTTCTGCCAACATTTTGATTCCTGGCTTTAGGATACAAGTTCCTACTTCTAGAAATTCCCAGGAATGGACAGATGAAAAATTCTGAGTCTGTCCTAGGGACAATAGTTCGGTCGAAGCTATTAAATACGAAAGTTTGTTACGAAACTCGTTATAGAACAAATTTGTTTGTCCATCAGACAGCCGCTTTTGTGGCGATTTCGCACGTGACGAATTATCTCGAGGATGACGCTATACGCAACGTGGTGCTGCCAAAGCTGCTAGAAGCCTTCCAGAACAACTCGGCGGACGCGCGAGTGCTGATGGACGCGGTGCCATGCATTCTGAGCCGACTCGAGAAGCAGAAGATCATCGACTGCATCTTACCGCTGCTCTGTAAAGTCAAGCTGCAAGAACCCGAGATCGTCGTGCGGGTTGTAAGTAAGTGAAGTAAAGCGTCACGTGGGTTCGCGTCGATGATGGACACACGATGAATCTCTTAGTTGGATGACGATAAGCAATCGCTCGTCTCACTAATTGAGAGTGACGATAGGACGTAAACTTCGTTTCGAAGGAGACGAAGCGACGATAATTATCGAGTCCCGCTAATTACTCGTCCCGGTCCGTTCAGATATTTACAGGCTGATGCTCACCGACAAGAAGTACGGCCTGTCGGTTAATTGGATGGCGGCGCATGCTATGCCGTCGCTACTACCGCAAACCGTGAACCCGGCGTTGAATCTTGAGCAATTCATACTACTGCTTGAGGTGCTGCAGGACATGCTGAACAACATCGAGAGGCAAGTGCAATTTGCATTTAGCGGCCGATTTCGGAGATCACACTCGGCGAATTTTCTCGTCTCTGTTAACTTAGGAATCAGAGGAACAAATTGACGCTCGACAATCTCTCGCTACCGAGCCCAGACAAGTATCGATCTCTGCGACATCAGTACAGTACTGATAACGTACATGTGGTGCCGTTCAACATTCCGAATTTACGCATCGAGCAACGCAAGACCTCGTCGGCCGAGGATATGGCCAGGAAGAATAGTATCGGTACGAATATTGAGAGGATATTTGACGTTTCTCTTTTAATCTCGTCCTCGGGCGAGGGCACTCTCTAAATTTCTCAGAGTGAAGTTTCACTCGAAACGGGTGAAAATATCGAAATCACAATAGTGTTCACTTTTCAATCTCGAATGAAAATATTCTTACTTGACGACTTAGAGTGGAAGAATTCGCTCTACATGATCTGGTCTGGATCTCGAGTGGAACTTTAGTTGAAAAAATGTAGAGAGTGTGTTCCCCGAGTCGAGTGTGCAAAAATAAAAATCTTTGCCAGTTTTTCTGCGATTCATCGATCTCGAAATTCTTTTGCCACTTTAATCTCCGGCACATATCTCTTTGCTGAAACTCACGTGCATCGGTTAAAAATACACCGACGACACTTCTTTTCCACGTGGTGGATGAAGTGACGCTTTGGTTCCCATAAATACTAGTTAGGATAAGCGAAGGTTCAATAAATCCGCCAACCCTTTTAGACGGAATTGCCGGGAGACGGACAGCGAGTCAAAGCTCCATTAACTGTAACTAATGTTTATGGGAACTACAGGCCCATTCTCTGGCTATATAAGGAGCAGGCAAAGGTAATCCGAATTTACTACGACGCTAAAGTCACGTTTCCTCACTTAGGATCCATATCAACGGCGTCCGCGGAAAATGTGGCGCGGAAGAATTCAATGGCCAGTGAGTATTTCTTTGAAGTATTTCTTCTTGGGAGGAAAGAAATAAACAGATCTGATTTTCCCTGGGAAAATCTCGCGGCACTGACAGCGGCGACGTCGACTAACGATGAGCGTTTGTTTGTTCGTCGCAGTGATGTTCGGCGGGTGGTTCACCTCGTCCGGCAATAATGACAGCAATTTCCTGAGAGTAGCTAACACATTCACGAACAGACGCCTCTCGGACAACACCCTGATGACACCGAAAATACGAATAGCGCCGTCTTGCGCGAGCTCACCGGGCGCGACACCCGGTGGAAGCCTGCCGATCCGTCGGCACTCTAGCACCGGCCAGCAAGAACGACGAGGCTCAAGTGTCAATTTATCACCGCCCACGGTACATAATGTTACATATACACGTATTATTTTCTGACCACACTGAACTTAGTTAACTCGTCGAGAAGCGGGGGGAACATCAACCGTGGTGAAATATCCAATTATCGACGTGCCTTTAGTCAAAGACACTTTAGAAATAAATCTGGTTTTCCTCGCGACCTCAGCGTTGCAGTGAAACTTCTTGCCTACACTCAAGGATTCCAAAAGAGAATTTCACAACTGAAACTGCAAACAATCGCTACTGAGGTCACAAGAAAAATTAGATTTCTTCAGAGTGACAATTACTAAGGTAGATCAATAATTGGGTGTTTTGCCCTACACGTGCCCTAACGCGCAGTCGCTTGCTCAAAACGAATGATAGTTTACCCGAAACGATAATAAAAACACCGCCATTTCATATGAATCGTACGAACGAATACTTCACTCGACCAGAGTGAACTCTTCATATCAGATTCATTGTACAATCTCGAATGGAAATATTCATTCAACGATTCACAGCGGAGAATTTACTCTGCTCGAGCGAGAAGTCGCTCGAGTTTAATTAACTCGGCTGCCACTCTACTTTTCGAGTGGAATTCTACTCGAAAAATTTGAAGAAGAATACAATTAAAGAGACGAACAAAAGAAACAAAAAAACCACATTTGGGAACTGGAAATGAGAAGAGCAGATAATGTGCAGCGCTGATGTGAAACGCGGAAATGGGAGTTTTGGTGAGAATAAATCTCCAATCGCGAAAATTGAGCACTTGGCGAATTCATTTGTGCTGTTGGCATACCGAATCGCCTGGAAGCTCGAACTAATATGACCCACTGACATTATTACGCTTCAGAACAATTGGAAAACTTGCTGCCGCCTACTATAGAAACGAATCCCACTATTGATCACGCAGCAATGACGTAAAGCAGAAATAAATCGGCTTTGCTAATTGATCGCCACACGGTATTACCGCGAGGAAGAGCTATCAACGTAGGTTAAGTGCACACAGATCAAAATTGAAGAATCACGCTCCACATGGAAACCGCTGCCTCTCTGAAAATAACAACTGTCCAGTTATTATTTTCTCTTATTTTTTCTAACAATTCAAAACGTAAAAATTCTCGTTAACAAAATAACAATTATTTCGAATCGAAGTCTAGAGTCCGATAAAGTTTGACAAACGTTAATTGAAAATAATCGGATATCCTGATCGGATATAAACATTGATCGGAATTTATTAATTTTCGTTTGTTAATTTTTTATCGGATAATTTCTCTCAGTGTGCCCAACACTGGTAATTTCCTCGCTGTTTAACACCCTTTCGTCATGCGACGCGCATATCGTTGTTGCGATACGCGGGCGAGATATAACGAGCCAATTATATTCTCTCGTAACACAAGACGTCAATAATATCGTCGCGGCGGTAAAATGCTATTGAGCAGCGACGAAAAGTCACACGTTGCAATCGATCTCAATTATATATATCTCGCATCGACGTATCAACAACGTATCAGTAATGTAACACGTTGATACCGGTAAGCTCGTACGACGACATTTTAATAACGCCTACTTAAGCTTGTCGTCGCTAAGACTCGAAATATGTTTTTATTTTCATGTTCATCATCAGGGAATGCCGATCACGAGTAGCAGCGTGCCGTACCTGCTCAGCTCGAGCTTCAACAGTATTCGCGGGTCGAGGCGACCGTCCGTATCCTCGACGTCGTCGCAACAGGGCATCGGGCTACTGCAGCAGGTTGGCTCCAGCATGGTAAGACAACTACCCCCCATCTGCCTGAACCTGAATGGACCACCACCACCACCAACACTCTCTCCATCACTCCAGCTACCGGGACAGCGTTCCCACTGACCCTCCGTTACAGTGTAAGGATATTCACTAAGACTTAAGTCCAGCCGTCACTCCGACCGCGGTTCACGCGCTTCATCGCTCTCTCATCGTCTAATCATTCCCATACACCTTGTCCCGATCGAATTGTTCTCTTCTCGGCATCGATCGATTCGGGGAGGGTATATACGCGCGAGATAAGCACGGCTGAGAGAGATCGATCGGGCGACGGTCTCTTCATCGGAGATCGACGGCTATATCAAATGCGACAATTTTAGAGAGGGCTTCATTTCGAGAACGTCGAGCGACACGCGCTCTCGTTACACTTGCTGTTCTCATAAATCCATCGAATGCGATTAAATTTTTATTAGACAAGAGAAGGACAACCGAACGAATCACAAATTTTAGTTGGTGCGTCGAAGGGGAATTAAAAGGTTTCGGAACGACGTCCTTTCTAAAATTATAGCATAAATAGTGGATGAATCGATTTTCTAACATGGACATAAAAAAATGGAGATGTAAAGATGCAAGGATATTTTCTTGCATTTATGAAAAGAAATTAGGTGTTTGAATTTTAGAGATATTTGAAAAATTTACGAAAACTCAAGCAGAGAGACCCTTCCGTCATTTCCGCGCTTCCAAGACCGATTGTTTGTCTCTGCTGTTCCTCTTTGTTGTGCGAGACTCACTCACTCAGTCACTCAGCCTCTCTCTCTCTCTCTCTCTCTCTCTCTCTCTCTCTCTCTCTCTCTCTCTCT